GGTGGCGAGAAGGGAATCGACTGGGGCAGGGAGCAGGATGCCCGAGAGCCACCGCGAGTACTTTGCCAGAGACCCACTTATACTGGGAGCTAGCCCTCATTCGTCACGCTGTAAGTTCAGGCAGCTTCTGACCTTCCATCCAGAGTAGACGGTTCCATACTGCTGCATGGAAAAGCTGTCTCTACTCTTCCGTTCCTCCCTTTTCACTTTTTCCTTTGCAAGCAAGCAAGGCATAAAAAGGTCCCTTAACTTGCAAGGTGTTTATTAGTATGGTTAACAACACACAACTAGGTTATCCATGTCATCCTAGCATCCTGATGATTTTTTGACAAGTTTAATCAAGTGTTTCTTCCAATAATGGCTACCCTTTGAAGTTAATGCAATGCAGCACTTCTCTAATTTGGTCTTCCATTCCTCACCAATGAAATAAAAGAGAGGAAAGGCAATTCCTGAGGGAAGATCATGGCAGTTCCTCCCCTCCCCTCCACTCATCATGGAATGTCTTGTCCTGCACTCAACCACCTTTATTGAAAAGTTACATCGATTCAATATATAGTAATACAGGCAAAAATAATTACAGCTTTGCGAGCAGTGTAAGACCTTAATCCGAAGCTCACAAACATTCAATAAAAAGTGGTGCGGACTGGGAAATAGGCTTTTGACAGCACAACCCCAAAGGGGGGATCGGAATGGGGCCTCGACTAGCGTGCCTGAGCAAAAAGTAGGCTGCAGAGCATTCAAGTCACCCTCTATGCTAAGAGACAGGCCATTGGGCTTTGTTTTTTTAAGAAAGAAAAAAAAATCAATTGATATTCCTGGATGCAAGTTATTGGACTCAATGATATAATGAGAGAAGGCTTATGCCATAACCTTTCTGTTGTGGAACAAGTATCCACTTGTCCTCCTGACCCATACAGACCTTTTTCCGGGACCCACAGCCCTCTCCATCTTGGACTGTATAGTGAGAGCTGAAATCATCTTACTAGGAAGGGCTAACAAGGAGACTGGAAGGGATAACAGAGGGTGGAAGGCAGAGCTCAGAGAACCAAAGGGGATATTCTGGACAAACCAGTTTTCTCAGAGTGTGTACACACACACACACTTTTTCCTCCCTGACCATTTTTCTGGTCAAAAAGCATCAAAATAATCTGCAAAATATGTTTGATCTAAACCGAGAGGCAGATGAAAGAAATGAGTGTGCGGATTTAGCATAACACGTCTGCCTTTCAAAAAATGTGTTTTTGCTTTTAGTCTAGACTAATTACTTCGACACGAGCCTCTTCTTTTTGCTCCCTTTTGCAAAGATTCCAGACATCATGGCCAAATCATTGCTTTCTGGATATTTCTGTGTTGTCCTCCTATGTTTATGTTTTGTTTTGTTTTTCCCCTGGACCTGATTTATGGCTGTGATTTTTATTACTTTCTTCTTGCAATAAAGCACCATCCTGTCCAATGTGGGTTTCAGGGCTTCTGTGCCAAGATTCCTGTTAAAGTCCAGTCCATTTTATTGCTTATTATTCATCATGGCCTGGAGAAGTAGGGATGAATACCCTCCTGATTGCCCTTTAAATAGTATCCCTCGTTGTTTCCAATACCATTTGCTGCTCCTGTGTGGTGTGGACTTGTTAATTACTGAACTTGTCATATAAGTTTTGTTTCTATAACACTGCCTTATTATATGTTTTTAAAGGGGAAAAAACTGAGGGAAACAAATAATTACATTCCACTCCCTGGTGAAATAGCAATTATATTGGGGCAATTCAGGGGCAATTCATTATGAGGTAATTCATAACTAATACTCAAGCCTGGGCCAACAGGAAGCAGTAACATGGGATAGGCCTGCAACCACTGGTTTGGCATTAAAAAGGAAATTTGCTGAATGGGCATTCACACATTCACTGCGGCGAATAAATTTTACAGAAATCTTGGTGAACAGTGTGGAGGGCATTGGTGGATATTAATAGCACCATCTTCCCTATTATATCAAGTGTTCTCAGGATGGGAGTCTGATTTCCCAAATATCAAATGGTTAGGTCTGATCCACATGTGAATATATGCCTCTGTTTAACCTATCTCTTGATGTCTTAACACATCTTGGCATAAATTGCCTCCATGGGCAAGCATCTCGTGTAAAATGGTGTCAGATGATAGGAATATTCAGCCTGGAGAATTTACTCCACTATGACAGCCTTGCAGATGAAAATCATCACTTCAGATCATCCAAGCAATGAACATGCACGGATACTAGAAGAGCTAATTTAGACTGCTAAACTAAATTAAACTAAACTAACCCTGTTGTCTATTCTACTACCAGCAGTTTCCCCCACCCCATAATCAGGAATTGTGATATCAGTCTGCATTTTATTGTTGTTTGCTTTTTAGAGAGCTCAGTCAGGTTATTCAGTGGCCAATGTATAAATAAACAAACAAACTTCTCCAGGGGGAGTGCTAGTTTTATAGTATTATATGTGTATTAAGGAAAGTATTTTTTCAAATGAAATGTTTGTTTTTTACTGATCGTTGTGTGTGTAGAAATCATGATAGATCCATAGATCAATGAGAGATAGATAGGCTGAGTAATTTCAAAATATATTTGGAGCTAACTGTTTTGGCTTCTGCCCTCCTCAGTATAAGATATTACACAATGTTTTTTAGAAGTATTCACACACACAAACACACATGGACTTTTCCACATTACAGCCTAGAATTGTAATGGGTTTAATTGGCATTGTTACCACTTGATGTAGAGAAAATACTCAACACTGGGAAGATGCAATGTATAATTCTTGTGGCACAGAAGTTAAGTAAAGAGAAAGAAGCTGGCACTTGTTAGTTGCCTAAGTTCTCATGTTCTCTCTCTCTCTCTCGTACACGCGCACACACACCAGTATTTAATAGAAACACCTTTGGCAGCAATTACACTTCTTCAGCAAGTCTTTTTCACCTTTGCACTGCTGGACCCCACACTGTTTGCTGTTTCTTCCTGACAAAACTGCTGCACTTCCATGATACTGAATGGGGACATTTGGTGACATCAACTTTCAAGTCTTGCTACAAATTCTTGATCAGATCGAGGTCCAGACTTGGCCTGGGCCATGCTAAGGCATTCAAGTTCTTGCTTCCAAAACACTCAGTGTTACTCTGACTGGGTATTTAGGTGACTCTCCACCCTAGTTCCAGGTCCCTTGCAGAATAAAACAGGTTTTCCATTAAAATTACCCTGTACTTGGCTCCATCCATCTTGCCCATCCCTCTGGCCCTCCATCCATCTTGCCCTCTTGACCAGTTTCCCAGTCCCTGCCAAGGAAAAGTTTCCTCTTAATATAATGCGGCCCTCATCAAGCTTAGCTTGTGGGTCATGTTCTCAGGGCAATGCTCAATGTTGGCTTTGCACTGCACATAAAGTCTGACAGCAAGGTCAACAAATTCAGTTTAGGTCTCATCATACCAGAGAAACTTTTCCCACATTTGTGCTGTGTCTCCTGCATGCCATCACTGAAACTCTGAATGGGTTTTGATAGGAATTTGTTTCAGCCATGACTCCCTTCTTACCTCTCTTCTATCTTTGTGGAACATCCAGTGATTGTCCCACAGACAGTTCCTCCCATCTCAGATGCAGCACCTTCAAGGTTTCCACTGGCCTCTTGGTTGATTCCTCGACTAATGCCCTCCGTATCTGGTCTCTGAGTTTTGGTGGACAATCTTCTCTAGGCAGAATCATGGTAGAGTCATACGCTCTTGATTTTGTAATGATGCTTTTAATGGTGCTCCTGCGCAATGTTCACGCAAATGGACTCCATTCAATTATTTACCGTATGTGATTTCTGGAGGCAGTGAATTAAGCACATTACAAGAAAGGAGGAAAATGTTTACATAACCAAAAAGTGCTGATTCATTTACATACCTTTTGTGCATAGTAGTAAAATTTTGCACTTTCAACTGGTAGCAATGACAATTAAATCTATTTCAATTCCAAGTTGTAACACAAAAAATATGGAAAAATCAAAGAAGGCAAATATTTCTGCAAGGGACTGTGAATGTATCATTATTACTAGTATTATCAATAATAATATAGCAGTATAATAATGATTATTAATTATTATTTATAGTGTATAACATTGAAAAACTAGAGTTTTCTAAACCATTTCCGTTGCCAGTTCTAAGAAGAGTGAATTACAATAATCCAATGCAGAAGTGATTAGGAGATAACTGATCAATGCCTGACCCAGCCCTCAATGTATGAGAAACTTGTTCCCATTGATTTTTTAATCAGGATTTACAGTTTGTACCTCCCAGATTGAATGCAGACTTAGGGCAGAATCCAATGGTTTTGTTCTGCAAACTTAAATAACGCTAGCAGAATTCTCCTGAATCTTCCTATGGGACAAGCAAATGTCATTTCCATTTCCCCAACAAATTGTGCAAGAGTTTACACAACAGATTGCATAAGCATATGTAATATTAAATAAATTTAATAAATTAAATAAATACTGTACAATTAGATTCTCCTCTGAGGCATAGTTTGGAACTTAATTTCTGCTGGTGCAACAGTATTTGTACTAACAGAATGACACAGTTGGATATCAACTGTTTATGTAATCTGTAGTCAAACCCATACGGTTCCAAACTTGCAGTGTGATTCATGGACCAAAAAAAAGCAGTCAGCAACATTTGTACATTTGAAAAATGCCCATGCAAAATGCATACATTTCGAAAATGCACACAAATACTCTTCAGTCCATGGAAGCAGAATGCACATATTTCAAAGATGTGCACAACTGATGCACACGGAAATATACACTGATTTTCAGGTGGTAATAAAGAAGACAAACCTCCAGGTCTGATGCAAACTCTACTTGGAATAATGTTGAGATGGAATTTGATGGGACTGAAATTTCCTGGCTTACAGTCCCTAGATCCAACTTCACTTGATATGGTTCTGTACATTTCTTTCTGTTTTAAAGGACACTGCATTTTAATGTGTCTACTTTCATTTTCAGCCATGACTGGCCTTGTCGTTCCTCCAATGTAAAAGAAGAGGAAAAATCGCTGAAGCTCCCTCCCCCACTTTTTTTTTCTTTTTTACAGCACAAAACTACTTATTGATTTGGAGCACTAAAAAGGAAAAAATAGCACTCCAAGCTATTCCATGGGAATCCATGTGCAGAGAAAAAGGGAACTTTTTTAATGGATGGGACATTCTAGGAGGTTGCTCTCATCTGTTCCAGTTTTCATACACACTTACATCAACCCCTAGAACATTAAAGGAGGAATTAGCCAAGATCCAGATGTATACTGTTTATGGGGTTGAATCCAGAATACAAGGTTTTTCTTATGGACAAAAAAACCTTCATAGCATTTGTAAAATATTAAAAGGAGGAACAAATTGGCCAACTGTTCGAGCTTGCTATTTTGGATACTCTTTGTTTTACTTTGTAGGAGAAAAAATGTTGAAGTTTCTATTTTCTATGGAGCATTTCAGATACCAGTTTAGTTTATGCAGAAAAAAAATCACAAAACAGGGTACCAGCATGGAAGACTTTCTTATAAAACTGATATGAATGGTGAAATGTGGATGTATGTGTGTATTTGCTTATAGTTTAATCTCTTTTAAAATGGAAAATGTAATATGTTTTACAATTATTTAAATAAATAAACTTGTAAGTTATTGTATGTAGAGGTAGACATTGAAGACTTTGGGGGGAGTTTTTTGCCTCCTGTCGTACAATGAACAACAGCAAAAAGAATGCAAAAATGCGGCAACAAGTTCTTTATGCTACAACCTGTCTTCACTCCTCTCCTGCTCCTCATTGAACCATGTACAAGAATGTCATAAATTCTTCACGAAGGACTCATCCACAACCTTTTATACACATAATGGTATATATACATATATATATATAAATATAGGACAGTAGTTAATGTATGAATATTATACACTTTTTCATCTTTTGATTCAATCAAGGTTTCAGGTCCTGGCGTAAGCTGTCTAGTTTCAGACATCCTATCAGTAACTATGTGGCATGCATGGGGTTTTAATCAGGTTTTCGTGTGGAACTGTCATTACTTTTCAGGTTGCAGCTGAGCAAGAAAGAACAGGAAAGTTTCTCTAGTTGATTGCTTTCCGTGTAGTAAAGGCGATGTTCCGTATATGTTACAAAGAAGGTTGATGCTCACATACGAATCTTAACGATCCTAGGTGAATGTTGTGAATACGCAGATCTTGACTTGGATAACAGTCAACATTCGCCAACGTATCCTAAGACTTAGGCATTTCTAAAACTTTGTGCAGGATTGTCTGGGCTCACTTTTGAGTTCTGGAAGCCATCAGTTGTTCCGTGTAACATATACATGATAAGAAACCTGTACATTCTTATATAATTCAGAAGTAACAATAGAACAAAGCATCCAGGATTTGAATGAGAATATGCATTTGGCTCCATGGCAGAGGATTGATTTCTGTGGGGCTGACCATGGATTTCAATGAAGTTGGTACCAATCTTTCCTTTTGAGAAACAAAATGAAAGCAAAGGCCATGCTCTCCATTTATTTGGATGGAGGGCCAGGGTCTCCTCATACAAACAAGAGCACGCATGCAGAAGGTCCCTCCACTGAAATGAATGGGAAGGCATACTTGCACAAGAGACCCATATGCACATGCTTCCAGACTTACACGGATCTGTGAATCAGGGCAACTGTCTCAAGAAATTAACGAGGAATGTCGTGAACGTGCTGATCCATGGCTTCCTTGGCAACATGTTGATCACTGGTAAGAGCTGTTTTTATGAGTTGGTAGTTTCCCCAAGATCTTCTAAACCCCCTTTCTGTTGCTGTCATTGTAACCATCTCTATTGGAGTCCCGTATGTTGATAATACACCTATAAAATCTATTGATCACTTATTGGCTTTTTACAATATACTATTTATATATGTACCTGTATTTTAAGGTGAAACCCAAACTTCTGTGCACCCAATGAGGGTAAATGTGTTTTTCAGGGGAATAAAAACATGAGTGTTTTCCCATGATGATTGTTTGTGGAAGTTCATGACAAACTAGTCATAATGAAATGCTAACTTAATCCCTGTTTTCTTCCTTAGGACTAGTCCATATGTTATCTTCTCTCTCTTTCTCCAACTATGGTGCTACTCCAGCTCTTTCTTGCTCATGTCAAGCAAATGAAATTGCTAGCATGGATCAGCAATCGTGGCACATTCCTTCGCAACGTGTTGGGCATATCCACAAGCTGAACAAGAATGGTATCGGTTAAACGGTCCAGCTAAATATTGCAAAAAAGCAAAAAAATTATGCTCTTCTGGTTGACATAAATTTTGTTAAGGTGAAGGGCCTATCCAGAGGTTAACTCTGAGTCTGTCTGAGCTGCTTTCTCCCCCACCCACCATTCGCAGGTGCTATTTGCACTGTGCCAGTTGTTTTGATCCATTTATTTTTGAGTCTTCATGGTGGAAGAGGAGTGAAAATAAATTGTTCCCAGAATTGGAGGGTGGGAGTGAGACATTTCTCAGTGTACAGGCCTTCCTTCCCTATTTCCCTGTAATAAAATGGCTGGCGGATGGCGGTAGTGATCTGTGCCCTTTCTTTTGCCATTTTTTATTCTGCTCTGTCTTTGCAGGATGTCTGGATTCTGCTTCTTCCCGAGGACCTAGCTTGAGATTCCTCCCTTTCAGCTTTGCAGTGCTGCTGGCTGTAAGCTGAGCAAGTTCAACTTCCTTTTAACAAAACCAAAAATACTTTGCTCGGCTATGCTCAGGCACTCAGCAAGCAGTGACACCAGACAGCCCAAGGGAGGAAGTCCTGGTTAAGTCTTCGAGGAGTCCTTTCGGAAAGCTCAAGCAGCCAGAGGGACTGCAAGCACAGAGCACGATAGCAAAAGAAAGATCATGCCCAACTTCCCCACCACGCTGGCAGCGTTTTCCTAAATTCTCAAAATCCCTACTTGACTTCCTCTTTCACCAGGGAATGAAGAGATTATGAAAGGGCAGGTTGGGGCATTATTCACCACTACTTGTAATTCACACAAACAATTGACTACTACTTCGAGGCATAGTGGGTGGGGGAAATGCATTAAAAGGCCAGAGAATATTCAGGGAATAGGCAGTGAAATTACTCTTTTTGGTGAAACAAGGTAGGAGGAGAGATATCAGAAATACTCTTCTCAAAAATGTTTTCTGAGAAGTTCCGTCTCAGCAAAGAGCTCATGAATCTCATCGATCATGTCTTCTATAATTTCCACTTGCATAAAGTCTCTTTAGCTTACTCACATGGAGTTCTCATGGTACTGGGGGGGGGCCTGTGTGAATACAGCAGCCAAGTACTTTGCCAGTCACATAGGTTTTTCTCACCTGTTCAACTCCACAGGTGTGAATGATTCATGTGATGCATCCTCCCTTCTTCTCAGGTTTTGTGATCATGAAATACCTAGTGCTGGATTCAGACAGTCCTATATACAGCAGGGGCACTAAAATCAATGGTGTGGGTAAGATATGATTAAGATCATTCTCATTGATCCAGATGAGTCTGATGAGGGCATGACTAAGTCTGCATTTGATCCTTGATCTTCTAGCTTGAGTGGCACAGATGTGCTAGTGGTGTACAGGCTTTATGCAGATCACAGCTTATGCGCAATTTGTTCAGTCCCATCTTTATTTTTCATACATTTTCATTATTGTGTAAGATATTGGCAAAGGCAGCAAATAGATGCTATGATCAGAGAAGAAGGATAGTGTAAGTTGGTGTCCTGCAACAGTAGGAGTTGGACTAGGGGGCCTTCTTGGCCCTTTCCAACTCTACTATTCTAGGATTCTATGAGAACATGAGAGGGACCCTACTGGGTCAGTCCAAGGCCTATCCAGTCCAGTATCCTGCTTCCCATTGTGATCTGCCAGACCCTGTAGAAAGCCCCCAAGCAGTCCCCAACCTCTGTTCCAGGAGATCGCATGTCACTGCCTCATGCAATCAGCTTTTTCTGCTGTGGTTTAATCCATGTGCCTTTTCTGCTGGGTTTCATTGGTAGAAAGGAAGGAGCAAGAAGATGTGAATTGAAAACTATCAAAACACATATGTGGCAATTCCGAACCAATTTAGGGGATGCTTCTAGTTCCAGTAGAATGCTCAACACAGGTAGAAAATTCTATAAAATGGTGATAGAGCATGGCCTAGAATGGGTATGTGGTCATGTGTTTCCTTTATTATTAGTTGCATTTCTTGTGGTCCATTGATACTGGGATCCGTGTGTGATGGAATTCCTACCTATAGCTCTTGGGATCAAGAAAGCATATTTTCAAGGCATCATATTGTTTTAATAGGTAGGTGGGCACCAAATTCACTAACTGGCTAGACAACCAACCAAGCCCTGTCATGGGTGAAGAAACATCTGGCCACGCGCAACAACGGTGAGAGGAGAGGCAAGAAATCCACAGCACTCTACATGGACACAACAACAATTACCGGGAAGTAGGGGGGTTGTGCTTTTCTATGGAGGAATTCAAATAACCCAGGGGAACTTCTTTTTGTCTATGCATCACCCAACTTCAAAATAATTGAAAAGTGGTGCCATGCCAATTTTAATACAAATTCATCCAAATTTACACTTCCAAACCAGCATATGAACACATAAGTAGGTATCCTACAAAATTTTCACATTTTCAAATGTAAAAGTGGAGTTTGCTAATTAAAATGAATACATGTCAGGGCAAAGCTTACACAGAAATACAAATATGGGTGAAAATAATGCTTTCAAATATATTATCTTATAATATATGCACTAGGAAAACAGTACAACTGATGCAAGATTTAAAAGGCTTGATTAAAATTGCATGTTCACACCTTTGCTGAAAACTGAGAGCTGGAGACCAGCACCAGTTCTCGCAGAAGTGCATCATCTGCTTTTGCTGCAACCCAGAAGAACACCCATTCGTGCCTACCCCACAAAGTATTAGTTATTATTAATTTGATTTCTATTCCACCTAATGCCCAAAGCTCTCTGGGCACTTTACAGCAGCACAGAAAATAAACAAAATACAATATAATGTAAAGATAATGGTAAAATATTGCAATGACATTGCAAAGTTTATAAACCAAGTATAAAAAGTTAGAATAGCTAACGCAAATGAAATCGCAAGACCTGTAATGCAGCTAATATATTGCCCCAATATCATATTAAAGTTAATAAAATGCCCTTTTACAGAGAACAGTCTTAGCCCAGTGCTGAGAGGACAGAGTTGTGAACCTCAGTGGGGAGCTGGTTCCATACCTGGGGTGCCACCAATGAGAAAGGCCTCTGTGGGTACTGGAACATCCAAGAAGGCCTCTTCCGTAGATGTTAATACTTAGGTGAATGTTAGACTGCGGACTCAGAAGTACCAAGTTCTAGTTCCACTTGGCCCTGAACCTACTGGGTGATTTTGGGCTGGTCACAAACTGTCAGTCCAACCTATTTTGTAGGGTTGTTGCTGAGAAGATAAACCGGAGCTTTGTTCTTCACAAGAGATCAAGAGGAGGAGGAGGAGGGGGGGAGGGGGCTCTCTTGGTTCACCAAGTCCTAACCTATTTAGTGTTTCAAAGTTAAATTCAAGAGTTTGAATTGAGCCCAGGGCAATTGGCAACCAATGCAGGTCTTCAAAGACAGGTGTTTTATGGCCCGTATTCTATGCAGTGTAGCTGCAACATTTTGCTCCTACTGGAGTTCCACATGGCACACAGCTGAAGGAAACACCGAGCAAAGCCTTAAAGAGAGCTTACAAACCTGGAAGAGGCACTGCATGGAATGTTGTTTGGGTCTGTTGCCTCCTCACTCCCATGTGAGACTTGGCAACATTCCCTAAAAGTCACAGAATCCCTTCCCTGTAGACCATCTTTGGCCTCAACTTAGTTTGAGAATGCATTTGGAGGCAGACAGCAGGGATCGCTTCTAATGCAAAAATTAGCATGAAATAAATTCTGGGCTAGCACAGATGGTTCATTTTTGCTTGTGGACAAAGGGGGATGTTGCTGGAGTTTTAACGACACACACGGCATCCTGGAGTCATTCTTCAGACTTGAAAAGCCAAGATTTCTCTGCAGAGCATACCTTGGCTTGAGAAACTCTTAGATTTAGCAGAAAGAGGAGAGCAGAAGAACTGCCTTTGGGATCCATTCTAGACCTGCTTAAACCTTAGTAGCATTCTTTGAAATGCTGTCACACCCTAATCATGAGCCCCAGTTTGAACTAACACCCCATCACCACCAGGGAAGGCTATGTTGGCGGACTCTTCATCCATGGGTGCTTTTATTTTGAGCTTTATAGGCACTGTCCATGGTGCTGAACCTCTTTTGAGCAGTGTGGATGTAGCAGCATCACAGAGCTCCTATAATGCTCAAAGGAAAGCTGCAGTGGGTGTGGCAATAGATGCTGGGTGCCGGCAGCAAAATGATGCAAGAAGGAGGCATGGACCGTGAATTCTAAATTGTGCCCCCCGTGTTAGTGTGCTGCCTTCAGCGGAGAATGCTGTCCCAGCATCAATTTTAGAAGCAAATTCACCTCCCAGTCCAAACAGCTTCTGCAGGTAGAATCGGAGGGGTGGAGCACTCAGCAGCTGCCCAAACATTCCCACTTCTGGTGCCACTGCCTTGGATGGACAACCAGGTTTCAAGAGGCGCCAAAGTGCATTCATGCAGTTAAGGTCATGTGTGGACTGAACATATTCCTGGAGAGGTCCAGTCTGGCCCGGGTGCCGCATTCCTTAGGTACATTTCAGTGACAGGCTCTTCATGGGGCTGCTTTGGAGAAGAGCTCAGAAGCTTTTGCGGATCCAAGGGGGTGTGTCTAAACTGCTGACCAGAGCTGCTTACAGGGAAGACAGGATTGTCTTACGATAACTTCACTGTCTTCCAGTCTGTTTTCAGGGACAATTCCAAGTAGTGGTTATGAATGGCTAAAGCAAGCTACTGGTGAGAATGCTTTCATGGCTAGGTTGTCTGAAGCACCTAATTCTCCTTTTTCCTGGTTCCATCACCATCAGCAGCACGTTTG